AGTAGCCGGGATTACAGGCATACGCTACCACGCCTGGCTGATTTTTTGATTTATGTAGAGATGAGGTCTCGCTGCCCAGGTGGGTCTCGAACCCGCGGGCTCAGGCAATCCACTCACCTCAGCCTCCCAAAGGCGCGGGATTACAGGCTGAGCCACCGAGCTCGGCTAATAAATAAAAAACAAATGACAGAAGTCCAAATATGCCAGTAATCACAGTAGATGTAAATGGGTCAAATTCATTACTGAAAGTCAGAATGTTAGATTGAGTGGGAGAAATGAACTACGGATTTACTAGAAATACATTTAAAGTAAAGCAATACAGAAAAGTTAAAAATAAAGTGCTGGAAAAAGATGTACAAGGAAAATACTAACCAAAGCTACTTTTAATATATTAATATGAGAGAACGTGGAAGGCTGAGGTGGAAGGATCACCTAAGTCCAGCAGGTGGAGGCTGCGGTGACTACGGGTATGCCTTTGCACTCCAGCCTGGGTGACAAGAGTGAGACTCTACCTCAAAAAAAAAAAAAGACAGAAAATGGAATTTAAGGCTCAAAACCATATAAGGATTAAAAATACTTCTGGTAATAAGACTAACAATGAACAAAATAAGGCAATCATATAGTAGGATGCAATGACAAGATAGCCTCAAAATACCTGAATAAACTTAGGGCTATAAGGAGAAGTAGATAAGGTTTGTCTTATTGAAAAACTGTAAACTCAAGAAAAATTCTAGTAGGAATATCAAATATTTATATGGCACAATTAACTATATATACTCAATGAGAACACAGATTCTTTTTATTTTTTAATTTATATTTAATTTTTTGAGTCAGAGTCTCACTCGCCCAGGCTGGAGTGCAGTGGCTTGCTCATGACCACTGCAGCCTCGACCTTCTGGGCTCAGGTGATCCTTCTATCTCAGCCTTTTCAGGCATGTGCCACCATACCTGGTTAATATTTTGATTTATTGTAGAGATGAGGTCTCACCAAGTTGTCCACGCTGGTCTCGAACCCCTGGGCTCAGGCATTTCCCTCACCTCAGCCTCCCAAAGTGTGAGACACCAAGTCTGGCCTAAGTTTTTTATTTATTGTAGAGGTGAGGTCTCGCCATGTTGCCCAGGCTGGTTTCAAACCTCTGGACTCAGGCAATCCTCTCGCCTCTGCCTCCCAAAGTGCTGGGATTACAGGCATGAACCACTGTGCCCAGCTAGAATTTCAGTTTGTAAAACGAAAAAAGAGTTCTGAGGCTGGGTGCTGTGGCTTATGCCTGTAATCTCAACACTTTGGAAAGTGAAGGTGAGAAGACCACCTGAGTCCACGGGTTCAAGACCAGCCTGGACAACTTGGCAAGACCTCGTCTCTACAATAAATCAAAAAATTAGCTGGGAGTGGTGGTACATGCCTGTAGTTCCTGTTACGTGGAAGACTGAAATGGAAGGATCACTTGAGCCCAGCAGACCGAGGTTCCAACTAAAAAAAAAGAAAAGAGCTCTGGAGATAAATTATGATGATGTTTACATAACAATGTAAATGCACTTAATATCACTGAACTGTACATTTAAAAATGTGGTTACAGCTGGGCATGGTGACTCATACCTGTAATACCAGTACTATTGGGAGGTGAGGCAAGAGGATTGCCTGAGTCCAGGGGTTCGAGACCAGCCCAGGCAACTTGGCAAGATCTTGTCTCTACAATAAATAAAAAAATCAGCCAGGTGTGGTGGCAAATGTCTATGGTTCCAGCTAGTTGGAAGGCTGAGGCAGAAGGGTTACCAGAGCCCAGCAGGTTGCCACTGCACTCTAGCCTGGGCGACATAGTGAGACTCCAACTCAAAAAAAATCCCCAAAACAAAAAATCCACTGCCCAACAATGTCTAGCTATCCTCCAGCCATTCTCCCTCAAAATAGAGATCAAACAAAACTGTAGCAAATTTCACCAAACATTCAAGGAGGTTAATTACTACTTTATATGAACTGTTTCAGAAATATCAAAAAAGTTCATGTAGTGAGGTTTAGAATCTTGATCTCAAAATAAGACAAGGCTAGCACAAAAAAAGAAAATTACAAAACAGTCTCTCACCTGTAAGCAATGAGGCCGTATCATGTGGCTATATTTGCAAGGTAGGTGTTATTATTTCCATTTTGTTTATGAGAAAAGTGAACACATGTAGCCCTTTCCATGACTCAAAGAGCTGAATGTAGCCGTCTACTCTGTTCTTTCCCAGCTACCTCCCTGCCTCTAGGGGGCAACTAGAAGCTAGGGTCCCTTTCCTCTAGTCTTCCATGACTCAGGGGATTTCCCATGGTAGGAGAAGACCTCTAGAATCTGAACTCACCAGGACGGGCTCCACCAGCTTCCCTTCCGGCATGACTGAGCGGTTCATCTTGGCAATATGCTCCAGAGTGGACAGGGCAGCCTGGGTGTTCCCGGTGGACACATTGAACCGTGCAGATTCAGGAATAAACTGGGCACAGATGACAAAGAGCATCAGGGTGGCTGCTGCTGTAGACCCCAGGAGAACAGCTATAATTGCTCCATACACTATGCAGTCCTAGTTTCCTGAGACAGGAAGAGTATTTGGCCAGATCAAAGGCATACAATACAGCATATTCTGTGGAATTCAAAATTGATTTGGAACAAAAGGGGTCATGCTCTCCTTATCATAGCCCCATATGGGATGACAGGAGGCTGATATTGAGTTTTGCACCAGTAGGGCCCAACCTGGTTGTCAACAAAATGGGGTTCTTACATCCAATTGGTAGATAGCCACTGCCCCAGCCCCTCATCCCAGTCCTTACCTGGGAACCCAAGCCTCCCAACAATGCAAGCTCCTAAAGGGTGACAGTAGCAGAGGACGTTCAAACACCCACATGGTGGAGAATCAGTCCTGATTGTCGAGGCCTTCAACCCATTGGTAGTTGAATATTTTGAAATCAGGCACAGAGAGCAGTGTGGGCTTCCATTGAAGCTGGAAAATTAACTCAGACCACACTCCATCCCTCAAGCCTCATCCAGCAAGGCTGTAGATTCTTCCTCAGAAAAGCACCTCCTCCAGCAGTACCCTGCTTTGCATTCCCATGGCCAGTAGGCAGTGCAGGGTCTCCATTGGGATTTTTCTGACACGTCTGATTTTCCAGCCTTTTCTCTCATTCCTTGTGCCCAGTCTCCATACAGCTGTATGTCAACTTCCCAGCACATAATCCCTTCCACAGTGAGAAGTTCCCTTCTTAGAAACCCTCACAATCCTTTTCTTAAACACAGTCCCTTTCTAAGCATCTCCAGCACCCCAGTTTTCAAGGTCCTTTGTAATTTGGCCACAGGCCTATCCTCCCAGCCTGCCCTCCTCTGGCATCCCACCCTGTAACCATCCTGGCTTACCCACTCCCCACAGACATGATCCACATTTTCACTCCTTCATAACTGGGCTGTCAATATGCCCTTTCAGCTGGGTGCGGTGGCTCAGCCTGTAATCCCGCGCCTTGGGAGGCTGAGGTGAGTGGATTGCCTGAGCCCGTGGGTTCGAGACCCGCCTGGGCAACTTGGTGAGCCTTCATCTCTACAATAAATCAAAAAATTAACCAGTTGTGGTAGCGCGCACCTGTAGTTCCAGCTACTTGGAAGGCTGAGGCGGAAGGATCGCTGGAGCCCAGCAGGTCAAGGCTGCAGTGGCTGGGAGCAGCCACTGCACTCCAGTCTGGGCGACAGAGTGAGACTCCGACTCAAAAAATATATATATATATATGCCCTTTCACTTTCTTTGGCCAGCCAAAGGCCATCCGTTCCATTCCACAAAACCCAAATTCAACAACACTACCCCACCAGAATGGGGGGTGGGGACTCAAAAAACCCTGGAATTTATTTACTAAAAATTCTGCATTTATTCTTACATGTTTAAATTTCAATCACCTTCAAAGTACTCTCTGTATGCTGTGATACACCTATCTTTTTTCTACTGCTCAGTTTTGTGGGGTTTTTTTGGGCGGGGGGTTGAGTAGGAGTCTCTTCTGTTGCCCAGGGCGAAGTGCAGTGCCATGCTCATGGCCATCACAGCCTCACCTGCTGAACTCAGGCAATCCTTTTGCCTCAGTCTTCCAAGTAGCTGGACCTACAGGTTTGTACCTAGTTAAGTTTTTGATTTATTGTAGAGATGAGGTCTTGCCAAGTTACCTGGGCTGGTCTCAAACACCTGGGCTCAGGCAATCCTCTCACCTCTGCCTCCCAAAGTGCTGGGATTACAGGTGTGAGCCACTGAGCCCAGCTAAACAGTTTTTAAACTCGTCAATTGTGATGCCTTTTAGTGCTTCTGCCATTTTTGGTTTCACTTCTTCCATATTGGCAAAACATTTCCCTTTGAGGATTTTTTTATCCAGCAAACAAAAGAAAGTCTCTCAGGGCAAGACTGGGTGAAAGAGGGAGGGTGGGGCATGGGAGCCATGCCGTTTTTGGTCAAAAGCTGCTGAGCACTCAGCGCAGTGTGGACAGGTATGCTTGCAAATCACCCATCATGCAATGGGCAAACACGTTGAAAGAATCTCCAAAAACAAACTCACTAAAGCCAAACGCAGTCTCTCACAATGCTAGTTGTGATGCTGATGGGTTCCTTGAACACTTATCTAGTGGGAGAAGTCTGTACTACTAGGGGTCTGTCCTCCAAAAAATAATTTCAGGGTTGTTTGGGGTCCTCCCTCATAAATCATTTTGACCTCTGAGCACACGCAGAGCTTTAGCTGCTATAGCACTTATCCCAGTCTAGTTGGTTCTATCATTTTTTGCATTTACATCTGTCTCTCGCTGATTGGCTGGAGCTCCTGGATGGCAAAAATTGTGTCTTATGCATCTTTTTAACCTCAAAACCTAGGATTGAGCCTAGTACATACTCAATATGAGTGTGGTGAATTAAATGACAATATGATCATTTTGCTTATTCAAAATAATTTTTTTAAAAGGTCGTAGCATAGCTTTATAGCTAACACATTGAGTGCTGACTATGTTTTAGACACCCCATGAAGAGAGTTTTACATGTTCACTTATTTAATTCTTACAACAACCCCATGAGCTATGCACTATTTGTTAAGCACAAAGGTGGGCTGACTTGTCCAGGATAGTGGGGCTAGGACTCTGGTCCTGATGGTTTGGCTTCACAGCCAATAGACCATGCTGCCTCCCTAGAGACAAACCTAGAAGCATGAGACTCTGAACTGAAACCAAAGAATGAAATTTAAATGGTTGAATTTAATTTAGATTTAAGAAAATACAACAGTCACACTATTATAAGCTTCAGGTGTTGTTTTTTTTTTATTACTTGAAAACAACTCACATAGGACAGATCTGAGGTTGTAATTGCACCTAAGCCTAACAGAATACAACTGTGGGATGCAGTTGGCTAAGAAACAATAAAGTCTTAGGCTACACAAACAGGCAAAGGGTCTGCTCACGGGAAGCAATAAGCCCACTAAGCCACTGGTCCCTGAGCACCTGGTACCTGTGTGTGATTCTGAGCAACAGTTCCTGCACAGAAGACAACGGCCAATTGGGCTTGTCCAGAAAATGGGTAGGGCTCTGGGGCCTACCATGAGAAATACTTGAAGGCCACAACATTACTTAATTTAGAGGAGGAAAGACTTGATGGGGCATAGATTCTTAAATCTTTAAAGGTATTTTATGGTGAGAAGATAGATCTCTGGTTTGCCAAATAATTAGTTCTTGCAGGCAAATTTATAAAGATAAAATTTTTCTTCAACTAAGAAAGACCTTCTTAACAACTAGGGCTTCCTGGAGATGGGATATACTGCAGTACTCTATAAAGTGGTCACATGACTGAAGCTGGGAGTGTTCTGGCAGAGATCTGCTGTTGCAGGGGATGCCTGCATTGAGTTGAGGTTTAGAATAAATGACTGCCAGGGAGCCTTCAGAATTGTGAAAGATGACAAAAGTGAAACAGAGCCCACTTCTGCTGAGTTGCCAATCCTGTCACTGAACGAGTAGAATTCTACTAGAAACTAAGAAAGATGACGATGCTGTGGTGGAACAATGTACAGATTAGTGGGAGAGAAGGAGGACAAACCAGCAGGTCTGTGGTGGCCTGAGAACATGTCAATGGCATCCAACAGGTGGGTGCCAAATGTTAGAGAGAGGCAGCACCAACGGAACCGAGTTGTCAGAGGACACTTCCACGAAGAAGTGAAAATGGGGCAGGCTACTGGAGGTGAGGGACATAAGCTGGCTGAGACTGACTCCCCAACACAAGTAAGAGGTGGATGTGAGAGAGATATCCGTGGGGCAAAAAGACCACAGGGCCCACAGGGGGGAGGACAAACTTGCTCACCTTGAAGGCCATGATGAGGATGATTCCTGGGACGGAGGCGATGCGGATAAGCCAACGCCACCCAAAGGTGGGGATGACCACAGAGGCCAGGCCAATGATGAGCAGTGAACCTGCAAGCCAGAACACCTGGGGATGGAGGGAGAACGAGAAAGATTGAAGTCCTCCTGTCCCATGGGCTTTACATTTCCTCTTTGGGAGCTACCTCATCCAGTATTGTGCCATTGTTGAAGATGGGAAAGAGTCTTTGAGGACAAGAAAATCCAGGTTCTACTCTCAGCACTACCTGTAATGACCTAGATGCATTGGAGAAGTCACTTCACTCCTGTTTGTTGTCTGTAAGTGGGAGACCCAGCTGGGGAGAGAGGGTCAGTAATATCATCAAACTTTTTTTTTTTTTGAGTCAGAGTCAGATTAGAGTGCAGTGGCACCCTCATGGCCACCTCAGCCTTGAACTGCTGGACTCAGAGGATCCTTCCACCTCAACCTTCCAAGTAGCTGGAACCACAGGCATGCACCACCATGCCCAGCTAATTTTTTGATTCATTGTAGAGACAAGGTCTCACCATGTTGCTTGGGCTATTGCCAAACTAAAAAATATGGAACCCTGTGAAATCTCAGACATTAACTATTTTTTCATTGAATAGATAATACACTGACTGGATCATAATTCACCAGGCACAAAGGAAACAACTGTGAAGATACTCTCTTCTTCTCCTAGTTCCCTGCCTTCCAATTTCCCTTCTCAGAAGGAATCAATATTACCCATTCCTTCCAGATCCTTCCTAAGCTGCTCAAAGTATATAGAAGCTAATAATGGTGTATTTTGTTCTTTTTTTCCCCCACAAATGGTATCACAGTACACATATTGCACCACACTTTGCTTTTTGTTCATTTTATTTTTTATTTTTTTTTGAGTTGGAGTTTCACTCTGTCACTCAGACTGGAGTGCAGTGGCCGCTCCTGGCCACTGCAGCCTCGACCTG